TCACCCCTGTAATTCCAACACTGTGGGAGGACAGGGAGGGAGAATTGCATGAGCCCAGGAGTTCCAGACCAGACTGGGCAACATGGTGAGACTTCCATCTCTATTAAAAATTTCATAAAAATTAGGTAAGCATGGTGGTGCTCACCTATGGTCCTAGCTGCTTGGGGTCTGAGGTAGGAAGATCACTTGAGCCCAGGAGGTCAAGGTTACAATAAGCCATGTTTGTGCCACTGAACTCGAGCCTGGGTGACAGAGCAAGCATGTCTCAAAACACAAAAACAAAAGAAAACTCTAATTTAGCAAATGACTTTACGTTCAAGACATTAAATGATAATTAGCTCATCTAGATTAGCTTGTCACTTTCCACCTCAATTCTTTTTAAATTCTTGAAGATAGAAGACACCTGGAACTAGCACACATAATCTAGGCTAATTTTTGGACCCTGTATAGCTTTGATTCCTACACATGCATATCCTCAGTCTACCTACAAACTGAGTCTTTTATGTTCCAGATTAACCTTCCTGAGATAACAGCTAATAGTGCAGCCTTTTTTTTTTCTTTTAAGTGGTACAAACATGACTCACTGAAACCTTGACCTCTTGGGCTCAAGTGATCCTCTTACTTTAGCCTCCTGAGTACCTGGGACTACAGACATGGACCACCATGCCTGGCTAAATCTTTTTGTGGGGTTTTTTTTTGGTTTTGGTACATACGGGGTCTCCTGATGTTGCCCAGGCTGGTATGGAACTCCTGGCATCAAAACGATCTTCCTGCCTCAGCCTCCCTAAAGGCTAGGATTACACTGTGCCCAGCCTCTTTTATCAATTTTTTTGGATATTGAGGAAATTAAGACACTTTGTTATACCTTCTTTCTTTTTTTTTTTTTTTTTTTTTTGAGACAGAGTATCACTCAGTAGCCCAGGCTGGAGTGCAGTGGCACAATTTCGACTCACTGCAACCTCCACCTTTCGGGTCCTGGTCCCTTCCAAGCAATTCTCCTGCCTCAGCCTCCCAAGTAGCTGGGATTACAGGAATATGCCACCATACCCAGCTAATTTTTGTATTTTTAGTAGAGACGGGGTTTCACCATGTTGGCCAAGAGGCTGGTCTTGAACTCCTGACCTTGTGATCCTCCCACCTTGGCCTCTCAAAGTGCTGGGATTACAGGCATGAGCCACTGTGCCCAGCCTGTTATACTCTTCTTAATTATACCACTAGAAGTGCTTTTGCTCTGCCTACCTAAAAACCCAAATCCCTAACACAGCAATTACCATTAAAGATAGTTGGTTTTTGTTTGTTTTTGAAACAGAATCTTGTTCTGTCGCTGGGCTGGAGTACAGTGGCATGACCTCGGCTGACTGCAACCTTCAGTTTCCAGGTTCAAGCAATTCTCCTGGCCCAGCCTTCCAAGTAGCTGAGACCACAGGGACCATAGTGCACACCACTATGCCCAGTGGCGCAATAATTTTTGTATTTTTGGTAGAGACGGAGTTTCACCATGTTGGCTAGGATGGTATCAATCTTTTGACCTTGTGATCTGCCTGCTTTGGCCTCCCAAAGTGCTGGGATTACAGCCATGAGCCACCGAGCCTGGCCTGTTTTGTTTTTTTGTATGTTTTTGTTTGTTCAAGACAGAGTTTTGCTCTTGTTACCCAGGCTGGAGTGCAATGGCATGATCTTGGCTCACTGCAATTCTCCTGCCTCAGACTCCCAAGTAGCTGGAATTACAGTCATGTGCCGCCATTCCCCGCTAATTTTGTATTTTTAGTAGAGACAGAGTTTCTCCATGTTGGTCAAGCAGGTCTTGAACTTCTGACCTCAGGTGATCCACCCACCTCAGCCTCCCAAAGTGCTGGGATTACAGGCGTGAGCCGCCGTGCCCAGCCCAAAGATAGTTTTTAAGAATGATGCCCTAGCAGAGGTTATGCAAGCAAGCAGGCTGCTTTAAAACTGTCAGAGGCCGGGCACAGTGGCTCATGCCTTGATATAATTTGGCTCTGTGTCCCCACCCAAATCTCATCTTGAATTGTACTCCCATAATTCCCACATGTTGTGAGAGGGACCCAGTGGGAGATAATTGAATCATGGGGGCAGTTTCCCCCATACTTTCTCGTGGTAGTGAATACGTATCATGAGAACTGATGGTTTTATAAGGGATTTAGGTGCTTATGTCCTCCTCATTTCTCTCTTGCCACTGCCATGTAAGAAGTGCCTTTCACCTTCCATGATTGTGAGGCATCCCCAGCCACATGGAACTGAGTCCAATAAACCTATTTTTCTCCCAGTCTTGGGTATGTCTTTATCAGTAGTGTGAAAATGAGCTAATACATCCCTATGATCCCAGCACTTTGGGAGGCTGAGGTGGGAGGATCCCTTGAGGTCAGGAGTTTCAGACCAGCCTGGCCAACATGATGAAACCCCATTTCTACAAAAATTAACTGGGTGTGGTAGCAGGCACCTGTAATCCCAGCCACTCCAGAGGCTGAAGCAAGAGAATTGCTTGAACCTGGGAGGTGGAGGTTGCAGTGAGCTGAGATTGTGCCACTGCAATCCAACTTGGGCAACAAAACAAGACTTAATCTCTAAAACAATAAATAAATAAAATTTAAAAAAAATAAAACTGTTGGGGCATTAGACACACAGACAGCTGTCCAGAGACCAGGATCTCTGTTTTTTGTTGTTTCTGTTTTTCCAGTTTTATTGGTTTTATTTAAACCCCAATAAAATAAGAACATTCAGTGTCTATTTACTTTCTGCACTTTGCAGGCTGGCACTGGCACTGGTGCCTCTGATGACCACCTGGGCTGCTCTTTCCAAGATGGCTTTGCAGGGAACATCATGAGTGATCTCAGCACAGTTAAGATTTGTTGCACACCAGCAGTACTTCCAGCTCCTTAATATTGTGGACCAGGAACTTCCAGAAGCCACCGGGCAGTACGTGCGTTGTCTTTTTGTTGCTCCCACAACCAATGTTGGGCATTGATCGGGCCCTTCAACCTTCGATGAACCCTGCTGTCAATATCTCTGTGTTTCCACCAGTTACACTCAGTTTTGACATGTCAGTCTGACTGGTGCCCAGTGAACTTTTTGGGCCTCTTTTTGATGACCTTGGGCCTCAGGAGGGGTCTGAGGGTGGCCATGATGGAGGAGATACCTGCCACCTCCATAGGCAGCACCAAGGAAGAGCGCTCAGGTCTTTCTGTAATGGTAAAAGAGGTCCCATAAAAAGTGAAGAAGCAATGATGCCCAACTTTTACAGTTGCTTAGCTGACAAACTTTTTTACAGTTGCTTAGCTGACACAGCTTCTCATCCATCCTATCTGCAATACCAGCTCATCCCATTACCAATATCTTTTCTACACCTTCAACCTCATCTCAGTATTCTTCTCACCTCCTTACACAGACTGAAACCTGGTTCTTTCCTAGACACTTCCCCAACACCAACTGTAATTTATCATCACATACTCCTGGGGTTCAGGGTTAGGAGCACAGGTGGATTTACTATGAAGCTTATGAAACTTAAGCTCCAGTATCCCTAACTTCTGCAAGCTCCTTCTAAGGGAATTGTATTAGGAATGTGATCAATCTTCTATCTTCAAAAAATTGGCGGCCAGGTGCAGTGGTTCACACCTGTAATCCTAGCACTTTGGGAGGCTGAGGCAGGTGGATCACCTGAGGTCAGGAGTTGGAGAGCAGCATGGCAAACACGGTAAAACCCCACCTCTAGTAAAAACACAAAAAATTACCGGGGGTTGGTGGCAGACGCCTGTAATCCCAGCTACCCAGCAGGCTGAGGCAGAAGAATCACTTGTACCAGGGAGGCAGAGGTTGCAGTGAGCCAAGATTGTGCCACTGCACTCCAGCCTGGGCAACACAGCAAGACTCAGTCTCAAAATAAATATTTAAAAAATTCAGACCAAGCCGTACAGCACAGTAATACCCCGCCTCTGCAAAAGTACATTTCCAAATGGATGCTCATCTCACAATATCTAACTATAACCTACAAGGGTAATACAGACACTGGCCAAATTTCTTACTCTTCAGCCACACAACTTTGCTATTTCTCCAATTCCATCCAGGAATTCTCTTCCCCACAGAAACTATGCTGTAACCTCTGCCTATTAACTTCATAACCTTAATGTAAGCATGGCTTTCTTCTGACCTCAACATCTAGCACATATACCTTTTACCCTGCTTTTCTTCAAATAACGCACATTATCACATATTGCTGCTCTACCAGCATATACATTCAATTGAGAACTTTTCATTCACTACAGAATTCAGTGTCTGGCATACAAGAACTCAAGCATTTGTACAATTGTTGTCCAAAAGTGGTAGAACAGTACTTCTCAAACTTGGATCACATAGGGGCTCTTGCTCAAACATAGCCCAATTCAGAAGGCACAGGTTATACTCCAACAGGCATTTTTAATAGGCTTCCAGATGATGTCAAGTCCCAAGAATTTTCACCTACTTTCATTTATTCCATCTGCATTACCAAGGTTAAAGCAACGTCACACCTAGACTTCACCTTTTACTGGGTCTCTCAGTACCATCATTTCTTCTACAACCTGCACAACCCCTCCAAATGCTCCAAACTGACTGCTTTTCTCTACAAATATGCACATGCACACATTGACTTGAGACCCTTTATCCATTCAAAAGTGTGTACATATACACACATACAAAGTTCTTTAAAATTTTCTTTATTCTATAGAGACAAGGTCTCACTATGTTGCCCAGGTTGGTCAGGGCTCAAGCAATCCTCCCACTCTATGCTCCCAAAGTGCTGAGATTACAGGCATGAAACTGCCACATTTTTCAAAGTATAAAAATCATACTGGCATTTACCAGTGTACTGATACTAATAGTTTTATGTAACTCAGGGAAAATAAGCCATTGAGACAAGTCTATTGAGAAGGTAATAAAATATTAATTTTTAAAATATTTCTATAACCAATTAACTATTCCAGTCACATTAAAACACTCATAAACCGAAGGGTTTTTTAAAATGTTTATTTTAAGTACAAAGAACTATCGTGGTTTTTCATGGCAGATGTCTTGGATAATCCTTTGAAGATCATTTAGTCCAACTGAAAAAAAAAAGCAGGTAAGAAATTATTTCAAAATGCTTTAAAAATCTCTACTTGATTTTCACAAAAACTGGCTCATTATAGAGTATTTAAATGGGCCTTTGACCCACCCAAACTAACTACACCAGGATCTGAATACTTTAAATATTAACTGAATGCGTACTCTGCAAACATCAACTATGTTTTAGAAGGATTTTTAGTAATGCTATTTCCGCTTCTTCCCTCAAAATTTTTCCCAAAACAAAACACTACTAAATAAATCTTTATGAAATGCACGAGTTAGTTGTTCAGCAGGCAACTATAATTACACGGTTCATTTTTGTTTTTTGAGACAGTCTTGCTGTCTCCCAGACTGTAGTGCAGTGGAGCCATCAACACTCACTGCAGCCTCAGCCTCCTGGGTTCAAGTGATTCTCCCACCTCGGCCTCCTGAGTAGCTGGGACCATAGGCCCATGCAATCATACTAATGTAATTTCTGTAGACACAGGTTTTCACCATGTTGGCCAGGCTTGTGGCTTAAATCCTGGACTCAAGCGATCCACCCACCTCGTTGGCCTCCCAAAGTGCTGGGATTACAGATGTAAGGCACTGCGCCTGGCCCAGTTTATCTAGGACACAGAGCTAGGGGGCGGGCCAAGGTCCATTTTCTTCGGTCATATACTACCTCCCAAATGAATAATGTGAACCTCCTCATTTTAACAGGAAGCATACACTGATAAAGTATTTGCTCAACGCTACCAAAACTGAGTTCACAGGTACTTTCTGTCCCTGTTGCACTGCAGAATTCATATTAACGATTTGCAACAGACAGGGCGTGGTGGCTCACGTCTGTAATCCCAGCACTTTGAAAGGCCAAGGCAGGCGGATCACCTGAGATCAGGAGTGCAAGACCAGCCTGGCCGACATGGTGAAACCCACCTCCACAAAAAATAAAAGGCTGCGCGTGGTGGCAAATGCCTGTAATTCCAGCTACTCCAGAGACTGAGGCAGGAGAATCGCTTGAATTCGGGACGAGGAGGTTGTAGGGAACTGAGACCACGCCACTGCACTCCAGCCTGGGCAATACAGTTTTACATCATTACAGAACACGACCATAAACTTATCTATTTTTAACAAGTAGGTACTATTCAATACAAAATAATTAAGAATCAGAAAGCTGGTGATTTTGTCTCAAGAGCCAATTATAAATTTTTTTCACCTAAAAAAAAAAACCAAACTACTATGTACATGATTTTTAGAAGCCAAAAGTCTCATATAAACATTAACTTGATCAAGTGATAGAACCACTAAATGGCAGATCCTCGTTTGCTGAATACTAACAATGTCCTTCTGGCTCCAAAACTCAAGTTCATTCCAGTATATGCCGTTATCAAACATTTTTCGGTCAGTGGTTAATATATACATTTGGTTAGAAAATACTGGCCGGGTGCAGTGGCTCAAGCCTGTAATCCCAGCACTTGGGAGGTCGAGGCGGGTGGATCACGAGGTCAGGAGATCGAGACCATCCTGGTCAACATGGTGAAACCCCGTCTCTACTAAAAATACAAAAAAAATTAGCTGGGCACGGTGGCGTGTGCCTGTAATCCCAGCTACTTAGGAGGCTGAGGCAGGACAATTGCCTGAACCCAGGAGGCAGAGATTGCGGTGAGCCGAGATCGCGCCATTGCACTCCAGCCTGGGTAACAAGAGCGAAACTCCGTCTAAAAAAAAAAAAAAAAAAAGAAAAAAGAAAATATCTAGGTATTGCTGCGGGTGGTGACTCGCGCTTATAATCCCAGCTACTCCGGACGCTGTCGCAGAATTGCTTGAACCCACTGTGGGTTCAAGGGGTTGCAGTGAGCCCTAACTTGGAACACCACTGCACTCCAGCTTGGGTCTCACTCTGTCTTACAGGTACTTTTAAGACCGATAAGTAAAACAATTTTAGTGGCTTCCGTAAAGTGAGTTATTTCACCCAACACAATACATGGCACCTAAAACTGGCTAAGCTATCTAAGTAAAAAAGGGGTAGGAAAGACTAAGTCCTTCACCTCCCATTCTATTAATGTGACTGTCCAAACCATCAACACTGTCACCAGCTACCAACTATGAAAGAGGAAAAGCTCTGGGTCGAATGCTCAGAATTACTACCCGAGGGAAGATCTGTCGGTTGTCTTCCGCAGAAAAAAAAATCACCACCACGACCCTCTCCCCACAGCGGAAACAACATGCAGTACGCCCACGGACGCCTACCTTAATGAAACCTATATCCTTCGCGTACTGACGGAAACACTGGCGGCACATATTGAGACCATATTTCCGGATCAAACCGTGCCGGTTTGAACAGACTCGACTGTAAAAAAAAAAAAAAAAAAAAAGAGAAACAGCAGTTTTGCAGGTCAAAGAAGTTACAAGACTCTGCACTCAAACGGCCACTACCCGCCTCCCGGGACTTCCCGGCCCCAGCCCAGGCCTGTAATGGCGGCACAGCGGCTCCCAGTCGGCCTACTCCCTAGTGCCGCCCGTGGCCTCCTCTACTTTAGATTTTAAGCAGCTCAGCGATCTAGAGCAACGTTTCCCTAAAATCACAGACTATTTCTCACCAAGAGCGAGAACCCTGGCCGAATTTTCGCGGGTGGCTCCAGTACAGCTGCTGGTGACCCATTTTGCTCTCGGAAAGGCAACGAGGTAAAAGGAAGGAGCTACTCTACGCATGCGCTTTTCAAGTTTTTTTGAGAGTTTACCCAGAATGCAATGCTCAAAGGAAACGCGTGCGCAGTGTGGGCAGGTTGTTTCGTGAGATGAATCTTGGAGGCGTTGTGGGCCGGCCCACTTGATGACGTCACTACAACACAGCTTCTAGTGCTATTTTGCGCCGCTACTAGACCGCCGGACGCGGTGGCGCGTGTCTGTAGTCCCAGCTATTCGGGAGGCTGAGGCTGGAGGATCTCTTGAGTCCAGGAGTTCTGGGCTGTAGTGCGCTATGCCGATCGGGTGTCCGCACTAAGTTCGGCATCAATATGGTGACCTCCCGGGAGCGGGGGACCACCAGGTTGCCTAAGGAGGGGTGAACCGGCCCAGGTCGGAAACGGAGCAGGTCAAAACTCCCGTGCTGATCAGTAGTGGGATCGCGCCTGTGAATAGCCACTGCACTCCAGCCTGGGCAACATAGCGAGACCCTGTCTCTTTTGAATAAAAATACGTTAATTTTGAACTCCCAAGAAATGAATGTTCTCAATCTCTTATTGATTAAACCTTTTACTTTCTTTTATTTAAAACGTTACATTTGGGAAAGGATTTTTTTCATCGACTCACCAGTGACACCTACTGGAATAAATGTACAAAACAACTTAAAATCAGCTGTAATAATCACGAGTCAACGGTAGGGTTTGCTTTTATTTTGTTAAATAGAGTACGTTTTCATATTTATTTTTTTGACACACTCTTCCAAGAAATACACCTACACCATTCCAGAAAAAATATATATATTCTTTGGCATTTAGTATATTTAATTCTTAAATGTGATTGGCTGAATTTAAAGTAATAAGTAATGTGCAATATATGTTGCTTTGACCAGATAATTTGGTGACAACTATGACCAGATAATTTGGTGACAACTAATGAAAAGCAAATGCAAAAAAAACAAATGTCAATAAACGAATTTCTGCTGAAAGATGCCTAAATTCCATATGGTCATTTATAATGCCTCCAGATAAAACTGCTCTGAAATCAAAGCTTTAACTAGATTTATAAAATGTAGCACATGGTGCAACAATTCAAGAAACCTTTACATATAAACTCTTAATTGAAATACACTTCTTTAAGGTATATTATGTCAGGGTTCCAGTGGGGTCCCCCCAACCCAATCATTAAGTTAGGCATTGCATTATATGATTAAGGAAGGAGGGGAGTCAGAGACTATTTATAAACTAGATATAGGGTTTCTATGTCTCAGCTTTGGAGCTCCCCTCTCTCTGTCTCTCTACAGGGGAGCTGCTTCTTTCTTTCTTCCCCCTTCTTTCCTGCCTATTAAATTCCTTGCTCCTTAAAACTAAAAAATAAATACAAATAATAAATAAACTGGATGTAACTTGTTTCTTGCCCTCAAAATTTTCTAATCTAATCTACTGTAAAAAACAGGATTATCTCCAAGACCTCTTCCTTCAACGTTTGTACACCAACATTTATACAACTAAGGAAAATATTCTGTGTTCAATGATGGGAGTGCTCATGAAGTATGAGAGGACCAAAGAAGAGAAATTAATTCCAGCGTGAGGTACATATGAGAGACCTTTGAAGTAGCACTTGATGGAGCAGAATGCCTGGTGAAACGAAGAGCTTGAGCCAAGAGTTTGGGTAAGGTGAACAACTTTGTGTAACTAGAGTAGAAGATGCACAAAAGGCCTAGTGATAGGAATGAAAAGGTATTTTATATTAAAGCCTCATTGGGCAAGACCCAATGTCAAGCTTCTACAACTTTCCTATAATTTATATCAGTCACTAATGTGTGGTTTCCAAAAGCCATCTGCCTCTCAAAAGCTAATCTAACATTTGTCCACAATTTCTCAGGCCTCTCCTGGTTGGTCTCCATAATATTTAAAAGATTACAGTGGTTCTTAGATCAGTTACATTAATATTTTTAGTACCCTGATATAGAATCCTTTGGGCCTAAAAAGTGTATTCATTTAGGAGAGGGGGGGAAAAAAAGACAAATGAGAAGCAATTAGTTGCATTTTGTTCAGAGAAGCAATTAGTTGCATTTTGTTCAATCTTTTTCTCGACTCACTGCAAACTCCACCTCCTGGGTTGAAGCCTCCCAAGCAGCTGGGATTACAGGGATGCGCCACCACGTCAGGCTAATTTTGTATTTTTAGTACAAAATTGTAAATTTTTGTACAAAAGGCTGGTCTCCAACTCCTGACATCAGGTGATCCACCTGCCTGCACCTTCCAAAGTACTGGGATTACAGGTGTGAGCCACAGCACCTGGCCCAACAATCTTAAACTATCTGAATTCTTAAGTAATGTTTAATGTCTATTCTAGTCTACAGACTATTCTTCTTGATAGAGATATCGCAAAAGTACATACTTCCTTTCAGTTTTAAGATAATGTGACACCATCTATCCCAAACAATGGAATTATCCATTTCTTTTTCAATAAACTGAGAACACAGTTTTAAAAAATCATTTTACCTCACTGTTTATCAAGAGATTTTACTTTTTTTTTTTTTTTTTTTTTTTTTTTTTGAGATGCAGTCTTGCTCTGTTGCTCAGGCTGGAGTGCAGTGGCACCATCTTGACTCACTGCAACCTCCACCTCCTGAGTTCAAAGGATTCTCCTGCCTCAGCCTCCCAAATTGCTGAGATTGCAGGCACATGTCACCACACCTGGCTAATTTTTTATATATTTGGTAGAGACGGGGTTTCACCATGTTGGCTAGGCTGGTCTCAAACTCCTGACCCCAAGTGATCTGCCCACATCAGCTTCCCAAACTCTTGGGATTACAGGCATGAACCACCACACCTGACCTAAGAGATTTTATCTTAATCCTGTAGTCTTCTTATAGTTTCTTAATTCTCTTTTGTATGTGGCTTTGAAATTTACCTTCTTTTAGAACACATTTTACCCTAATAGGATATTTCTTGGGTTTAGATTCTTTCTTTTTTAAAAAATGCACAATGAAGTACAAAGAAAAAGAAAAAAAAAAAACTGCCATAATGTCCTTGCCCAGATAACCCTACTAATATTTTCCTTTTGAAAAAATAAAATATACATATAAGATTGAAGCATTCTAACACTAAAGAGTATAGATCTTATTTTTTAAGTACATTGGAATAATATGCATGTTTGTTAAGACAGTATTATTCAAGATGTCTCCAATTTTCTTTCTCCAATTATTCTTACAATCATCTGTGATCATCCATGCAGAATTTAATCATTTTAAAACCTGCATCTGCTGGGCGCGGTGGCTCACTTCTGTAATCTTAGCACTTTGGGAGGCCAAGGCGGGTGGATCACAAGGTCAGGAGATTGAGACCATCCTGGCTAACACCGTGAAACCCCATCTCTACTGAAAATACAAAAAATTAGTCAGGCATGGTGGCACTCGCCTGTAGTCCCAGCTACTCAGGAGGCTGAGGCAAGAGAATCACTTGAACCCAGGAGGTCGAGGTTGCAGTGAGCCAAGATTGTACCACTGCACTCCAGCCTGGGCGAAAGAGCAACACTCCGTCTTAAAAAAAAAAAAAAAGAAAAAGAAAGAAAAAACCTGCATCTTATGTGTATACACTGCTGATGGGAATGTAAATTCGTTCAGCACTGTGGAAAGCAGTTTGGGGATTTCTTAGGTAACTTAAAACAGACTGCCATTTGACCTAGCAATCCCATTGCTGGATATATACCCAAAAGAATATAAATCATTCTACATTAAAGACACATGAATGTGTATGTTCACAGCAGCACTTCACAATAGCAAAGACATTGAATCAACCTAAATAGCAATTTTTTGGCAACAGTAGACTAGATAAAGAAAATGTGGTACAGATACACTATGGAATGCTACACAGCCGTAGAAAAGAACAAGATCATGTCCTGTGCAACAACGTGGATGGAGCTAGAGGCTATTATCCTAAGCAAACTAACATAGGAACAGAAAACCAAATGCTAAACACTGAATATACATGGACACAAAGAAAGTAACAGACAGCAGGGTTCACTTGAGCATAGAGGGCGGGAGGAGGGTGAGGACTGTTAAAGTACCTATTGGGTACTCAAGCTTATTACCTGGGTGATGAAATAATACATGTAACAAACCCCTGTGACACGCAATTTATCTATAGAACCAACCTGTACACATACCCTTGAAACTAAAAGTTAAAAAAAAAAAAACTTTTATCTCTCTTGAGTTACCTTCAATTTCAGAACCTTGAGAAGTAGAATCATACTTTTTCTCTAAACTTTACAAAATCTATTTCACCATAATCAGAGTCTAAGATACATGTTTTGCATGCTTGGTTATTACAATATGCACACTTCAGTATAGTTGGTCCAAATTAAGTTTTTTGTTTGTTTGTTTGTTTGCTTTGAGACACCGTCTCACTCTGTAACCCAGGATGGAGTGCAGTGGCACCATCTTGGCTAACTGAAACCCTCACCTCCAGGGCTTAAGCGATTCTCTGCCTCAGTATCCCAGGTAGCTAACCACTCTCAGCTAACTTTCATATTTTTAGTAGAGATGGGGTTTTGCCATGTTGGCCAGGCTGGTCTCAAACTCCTGACCTCAAGTAATCTTCCTGCCTTGGCCTCCCAAAGTGCTGGCGTCATCTGCCCTGCCCAACTAGAATTAGACCTTTATTAATAATTATTAACCCTTCAAAAAAGCCAAATTGTTTAATATATGTGTTTCTCCATATCTATTTTAGCAAATATTAATATTTTAATTAACTGTACATATTATGTTTTAAATAAAACATACTTTGGAAAAGGAAACTCAGAAAAAGGAAAAAAAACATACACACACACATGCATACATTAAATATATTGTTAAAAGTAAGTCTTTCTCCAACCCTAGACCCCTATTTTCCAGTCTCCCTGTCCAAATCAACAAGTTAGCAGTTTTTGGGGGTTTGGTTTTGCTTTTTTTTTTTTTGAGACAGAGTCTCACTCTGTTACCCAGGCTGGAGTGCAGTGGCACGATCTCTGCCTCCCAGATTCAAGTGATTCTCCTGCCTCAGTCTCCCAAGCAGCTAGGATTACAGGCACATGTCACCACACCCAG